GCAGACCAGACCTAAAGTCAGCTTTCACTGAGCTTACATCCAAGTTCTGGCAGGAATATGGGGAAGCAACATCTGGTACATATAGACAGTCATCAGCTGAATGAATAACTAAGAGAACTTCTTTAAGGGCTTAAGGGCTTTAACAAAAAATAAGGGTAATGGAGTAGGGGGGAAAAAAAAACCCTAAGTGGAAAAATTTGTAGGATTACTTTGGCTAGGGTAATCATGCAAGACTTCTCTGAATATACTGACATGATCATGACATGACATGACATGATTTTTTTCTCTGAGAAAGTGATCTTGGACAGAGATCTGAATGACAAGGAGCCAGCCAAGTAAAGATGTGGGTGTTGAAAGCAAAGGGAAAAATGTGCTGATATCCTGAGAAAGGAACATGGCTGGCATGTTGGAGGAAGAGAAAGAAGGCCAGTGTGGCTCGATTATAATGAACAGGGGGAGAAATAAGCAGGACTAAGAGACTATAGAGTGTTATAAGCCATAGGAGGGAATCGGGACTTGAAGTACAGTTTGTCTTAAGGGAAAGGTCATATGACCTGATGAATATATTGTAAAAGATTTCTCCTGTTGTTGCATGGAGACTAGATGGCAGAGGGGCAAGTGTGGAACATGGAGATCAAAATTTCGTATTTTCATGTGCATATATTGTCAAGACCTCAACTTTGAGCCATATCTCTGAAAGAATTCCACAGATGAAATAGATAATGAGAGAGCTGCCATCACTTTTCCCCCATCTGCTGGCCTTTTCCAGGCATGGGTAGATGTGTCAAGCCAGACAGTGATTAGAAATGTGAAACTAAATGTAAAAGCTAAGCCCTCTTGGAAAAACAAGGGTGAGTTCCTAAGCACAAAAGGTCTAAGTTCTCTCTTAATACAGCTCTACAAAGTGGAAGGAGCCAAGTAAATGGGCCAAGGTTCTTCCGAAAGTCAGGCTGGGCTTATCCTCAGCCACTGTCGCAGGAGCTATCCAGGGTGCTGAATGTCTCACCCCCAACCACCCCACCCCTGATGCTTTCCAAGGACTCATGGACAAAGCTTGTCAGTTATCCTATCCAGTTATCCTGGACCTAATGCCTCACTGCTTTGAACCATAACCAGACTCTACTATGATACCACCCTGATGGACTTCTGGTCTTAACTAACCTTTAAGTCAACACCTGTCTGGGCCATGTCTGTTTGATCTAATGTTAATTATCTTCTTTGTGCACCTGAGAGAGATAATATGAAATGGCAGCATAGCTAGTGGTATACAGATAGGTTTGGGACTCCACTGTACCTCATGACCATTTGAAATAATAATGTCAGAGAAGCAGAGAGCTCAGTGGGGTCTTTTTTTCCTTGGACTTATACTCAAAGGTGGTACCTGGCTATTAAGCTGTTTATTGAAACAAACCTGTTTATACAACTCATCCAAAGTCTCTACAACACATCTTTTAAAACGCTGCTTAAGGAAGACACGTATTGCATAGAGCACTGGGTGTGGTGCATAAACAATGAATTTTGGGACACTGAAAAAAAGTTAAATTAAATTAAAAAAAAAAACAGAAACACTGCTTCTCCATCTGCAATGATTAACAAGTTCATGTACTATATTATTTTACCCCTCCCTTAAATAGCATCCTTGACTTTGCTTTAAAAAATATATATATATTCAACTGAAGGCCATTACTCAATTTCTTGAGTAATCAAGTTTATACACTAAGTAGTGGATGAAAATTTGTATGCTTTCAAATCAAACACTTTACCTCTTCAACTAAAACACTTAGAGCACTAGAGTAATCTGATGGATACTTATTTCTAGCTCTCTTCTTAAATAACAAGAAAAACAGGGACAGCTGCAGCATCTTCAGAAGTTTCTACCCGCATGTCAGACCCTTCACTGTCCTTAAATAGGTTTGAGGGTCAGTGTGACTTTTAAAGAGCCAACGAAGTTCAGTACAACTTTTTAGATGCATGTTATCAAGACTATCATGAGAAAATTGGACAAGAAACCACTAAACTTGCTCTGGTATTTCCTTTTTATATGCACAAACAAACCAAATACACAGAAATGCCATTCAAGAAAAAGGAAATAAATGGCATTATTTTTACATAATCTAAGAATAAATACACGGCCAAGAATGTCTTTGTTGGATCTAATGTCAATTAATTTTGTTAATGTCTCTTCACAGAACTCCCCAACGTCCCTTTCATCTCCAGGTCTTTGCTCATATGCTCATTCCTATGAACCTTCATCCCAACTTCTTTCATTCTGCTCATTCAGCTCATCCTCCAGACTTAATTTTGAATCAGGGAACCTTCTTGGAGCCTGACTCAAGCCCTACCAAGACTGAGCGAGGTCTGGACTCCTATATAACACCCTCCACTCACCCTCATCTTGGCACTTATCACACTGTCATTTAGTTGCCAGTTTATTTGGACAACTCTCCCACTACCTTTTAAGGCTATGAGTCCCGGGCCTTTCACAGTGCTTTGCCTAGTAGAGGCAATCAATGAATAAATGAGTGAACTAAGAAACTGAATTATTTGTAAGGTCTCTCCCTATCTCTAGAAGTTAATATCTCTGCCTCATTTCTATGCTTTTTCCAAAACTGTGGACTCAATATTCACCTCATTTAACAGAGTTTATATAAGTGACTTCATACCATGATAAGAAGTTTCTGAAGCCAGAAGGAAATTGTAGTTTATATAACTTATATACAGTAAAATTTTAGATAATATAATTTACAGTGCAATGAAATCCTACTATTTGGTCTGTATATACAAGATGGAGATAAGATATATAGTTTAACCATCAAAAAGTAAATAGAAAGTTTTTAAATATTTGAACTTGAGATAATGCCATACCCATAAAATATTTTTTATTAGCTCACATTTCCTTCGCTATTTTAAAGCCATTTTTCTTTTCTGTGTTTTTTTTGCTCTAATGCCTTAATGTTCAGAGACAATACTCAGTCTGATATGAAGTTATATAGTACACTCTTCAAAGCTGAACAAATAAGATGAAAATAATTTGTGAGAATATTGGTATTATTCCTTGAAGAAAGGTCCTTTCTATCTTTAATCTTAGTAATTTGACTTTCATAACTAAAAATATTTATTTTCTTATACTCATCTATTATTTTCGTCATATAATAGTACTTTATCTATACTGACTTACTCTCTAATTGTATCATAAGAACAAGTACCTTTGCCTCCCCCATAAATTTCCCAAATAAATTCCAAATTTCATGAGATTATAGATTATATCTTACACATATTTTCTCTTTTAACATCTTACATAGGTACAGAGTAAGTTTTTAATAACATGAATTGTCAAAACTTTAGATTTAGAAACAATCTATTCCCATTACATACATTAAATCAAGGGTCAGCAAATTATGGCTTGCAAGCCATTTCTCATCAGTTCTAGTCTATTTTTGTATATAAAGTTTTATTGGTACACACCCACCTACTTATGTATTGTCTATGGCTCCTTATAGACCACAATCTCAGGGCTGAGTAGTTCCAACAAAGACTATAAAGCCTAAAACAGTTACTGTCTGGCCTTTTCAAAAAAAAAAAAAAATGTTGCTGAACACTGCTCTCAATCATTTTTACAGATGAGAGAACTCAATCTCAGATAAGTGACTTGTGAGAGTTTGTAGTTGAACCTGTTCATTAAATCTACCTCTATAAGATGATTTGTCAATACCAGAGAAAATGACCGGTGAAAATAATGCTATTTTAGAATACATAAAAGTAAACAAAAGAAATATCACAAGTGAAGACAGTTGTTGAAAGACTTTTCAGGGCTTATACTAACCAAAACCAAATAGAAATATCATCTTTCTAAATTAGGGTAGTATCATCTGGTAAAATCAAATAATCTATGTTGCTTTAACACAGAGATATGTCTATATATACATATCCATGTGTATATTTATTTGTATTTCTATTTCTTTGTGTGTGTACATATATATGTATAGAAACGAAAATTTACTATCAGAGAATATCATTAATTTTATTTAAAAATCCAACAAAAAAGTGCAAATCTTACAGAAGACTTCTAAAAGATGTTGAAAGCAATTACTGTCCAAAAGACTGCTTTTAAAATGGACAAAGATAAATAAATTTTAAAAATTGACCCAAAGTGAATTCACCCAACCTAAACTCCTATCAGACTGCCACTCCTGCCCGACAAAGGATCTTTAGCATAGATAGTTTAGGTAGTAGAAATGATTGATGTTTCCCCAGGGCATCCCCTAAAATGCAACAATATAGACATTCTTGGAGTAGAAATAATTTGTAGCTGGCAGTTGAAGGGAGAAGCTGCACTTGGTAAGCCACACACAAAAGAGGATCAAGACACACAGGTAAATGAAATGTTACAAGTCAATACTTACTAACTGCTTATGCTGATAACATGTCCCCTCTTACAGGTCACCAGCCATTGAGTCTTTCATTTTAGCAACAAGTCATATCATCCATGAGACAACAAAGAGAGGGACAAAGAGCAAGAGAAGAACCAGTCAAGTTAGAACTGATGGAAAGAACTGATGCTCTAGAGAAAAGAGCAGAACAGAATGCGTATCTGGAAACAGCCAAGGTGGAGAGGTAATCATGTTTAGGCAATTACACTGTCTTACACTGTATCATATAAGCCTAGGTGCCTGCAACACATGAATATCCACCTGCCATCCCTAATCAGGGCACAGACCTCTGGAGACTCAGCTATTAAAGTCCTCTTCCCATAGAGTTGCTCAGGACTGCTTGGATCTTGCCAGTGGAGAAAGCATAATTACTCAGCCACAACTGTCCTGGGCTTTGTCAACTCTTTCTCCTGAAAACTATTTTTTCTCCATGTGTCTACCAAAGATACTAGCGGACCTACCAAGTATTAGTGTTTTCTTTTATAAATAGCTGCTCCTACATGCCTTCCTTCTTCAGTTGCTTCCCCTCAGAATTAAAGGTGGACTAAGTTGTTTTTAACACACTATTACCTTGAATGCTTCTCTTGAAGAAGGCCTTACAGCCTTCACAGGACCAGACTCCATAATGGTAGCCCGAGGCATAGTCATTGCACACTGCACAGTAGCGGGTCTCCTTGGCAGACTCCATGGCCATGCTTCCTTTGTCACTGGTGCTGGCCAATCTCTCTCTGCCACCCTGGCGTCGACTGTCTGAATTTGGCCTAGAAAAAAAGAAATAGGAAAAAATAAAAGCAGTAAATCTATTAACATTAGAAAAGCAAAACATGCACGCTCTTCTAAAGAATAAGAGGCTTGGGGGATGCAGCAGATCCACTTTATTCTGACATTTTGAAATAATGAATCATAATGTAAGCTAATCTTTCATTACCTCTTGCCAGCTGTTATAGCAAAAGGTGTTTGCCTATTATATTAACCTTGAGGGGAAATTGTTTATTGCAAACTTGCTTAAGAAATGGACTGCCTACACCAGAATATATTATCTAGAAAATGACAAAATGAAATTAACTGGTTTTTAATAGATTTATTCCTTTTTTTTCCAGGAATTCACAATGCAGAACGATAAGAGACCAATACTCATTCTAATTCTAGACACACTAAGGATCTTTAGGAAATAGAGACAAGCATAAAGCAGCTGGGGCATTTGAAACTCAAATGAACTGATGAACAACACGGAACATGTATAGAAATATAACAATTCAGATGTTTATGTCATTTTTACCATGTAACCCTGGAAATCAGTTTCTATAACTTGACTGTAACTTAAGGGTGCCTTAAGTTACAGTCAAGTACTCAATACTCAACACTCCTCTTTAAGTGCATGTAGACTAAGAAGAGCAGAGAAACACAGACGATTACTCCAACCTTAAAATGTTCATAGAGGAAGCATATCCCAGAAAGAAACCTAAGAATTAATAGTAAGTTCTGGGAGAACCAAGGAAATGGAGAAGTAAAAAGTTTTAAGGAAGTAGAAATGTTTCAGAAGGAAGAGTGATCGACAGTGCCAAATAGAGCAGAGAAATCCAATAAAGCAAGGACTGATGGAATGTAGTAGGATTTGACAAAGAGGAACCTTAGCAAGGAGCTTCAGTAGAGGTATCCAAGCACGGGTCAAAAGCCAGCGGGTGGAATAGAAAATGGAGTAGGAGGAAATGAAAATGAGTGAAGACCATTCCTTTGAGAACTTGGATGAGAATAGGTAGAGAAGAGATGGGGTAGGGTGCTCGCTAAAGAATATAAAGATTTTTTAAAAAAAGATTTTCAGAATGGATGCAGAAGCCTTATCTAGACTAAAGGGAACGAGCAATAGGGAAGAATTGGGGGTAGAGGTAATGGCAGAACAGAATAAAGTCAAGGGAAGTATAGCAGTTGGGATTAAAGATACAGGTAGAAGGAACAGCCTCAACAAAGACACCTTGAAGAAGACAGAGAGAAAAGATCAATCCAGGATTTACTAGGCATGTGCGACCAAATAAAAGCAGTGGAGGAGAATTGAGGGTGTATGGTCAGAGCCCACCACAGTGCCTGGTATATAGCTGGCACTCAATAATGTATTTAAATGAACTCATCGAATGTTTCAGAATGTATAGGAAAAAAAGAAAAGTTGAAAGATACTGGAAGGATAGATGGAGTGAAGGTTTCTATAAGATTACCATAGGGTGGGGGGTGGGTGGGGGAAGCTGGGACACCTGGGTGGCTCAGCCCCTGATTTTGACTCAGGTCATGATCTCAGGATCCTGGGATCCAGCCCCACTGCCGGGCTCCTTACTCAGCATGGAGTCTGCTTGTCCCCATGCCCCTCCCTCTGTTTATAATCTCTTTCTCAAACAAATAAATAAAATCTCAAAAAAATAATAAAAATATAATTTTTTTTTAAAAAGCAACCGAAGAGGAGATAAAATGAATTGAAGACAGAGCTTCCAGGGCCTCGGATTAAAGAAACTCATGCTTCCTGCCTCTATTCCACACCCAAATAACTAGACCACATTGACTTTCTCACTGGCCCTCCCTTTCACAAGCCCAGTCTTTCCTTTTAGCTCAAATTTTATGATCCTTTCCTACCCTGATCATTCATTGATATTGTCCACAATTTTGTGGCATTGGTTCTCAAACAATACTTGCCATAATACTCACAAAATAGTGGCTCCTTGCATTGAGCGCATCTGACTTGGCCAATTTTTTCCATTCTGAATGACACAGCTCTTAGTCTGGCAGCCTCAAATGCAAGTTCTTTATTTTTTAATATCTTTAGAGAGCACTGGCTTGCCATTTTCGGTTCCAGTTCATAGTGTCCTGCCTATGCCCTTCCATTTAATCACAATGCTGTTGAATGCCCCTCTCCCCAGTCAACCCGCTCGTTTACTAACATCTTATGCATGATTCAAGTCAGTAGGAAGCAGCTGTGAATATTTAACTGTAGAAGCTCAGCGCCTTTCAGGGGCAGGGTGGTTAGCAAGCTGGACACTGACAGTTTCGAGGCCTTATAAATCTTAAGTACTGCAGCCTCCATACCCAGCTCGGGGCCCAGCCCACAGCAGACATTCCATACACATTTGCTGAACGAAGGAAGGCAGGAATGAATAATAGATGCATGGACAAAAGTTCCAAAGTATCGGGCAACTTCCGTCCATCACTGCATAATAAAATACTGCAAATCTTTAAACTGTGGTAGGATAAATGTAACATAAAAATTTATCATCTTAACAATTTTTTAGTGTAGAGTTCAATAACATTAGGTTATTCACATCAGTGGTAACCAATCTCCAGAGCTTTTCCATCTCACAAAACTGAAACTTCATACACATTCAACAATTCCCCATTTACTGCTCCCCCCAGGAACTGGAAACCACCATCTACTTTCAATCTCTATGCATTTGATACCCTAGATAATTCATATATGTGGAATCATAGACTAGTTGTCTTTTTGTAAGCGGTTTATTTCACTTAGCATAATGTCCTCAAGGTTCAGCCATGTTGTAGTGTCAGAATTTCCTTTCTTTTTGAGGCTGAACAATATTCCATCATACATTTATACCATATTTTATCTATTCATCCACCAAAAGACAATGGACATTTGGGCGGCTTCCATATTTTGAATAATGTTGCTATTAACACGGATGTTCAAATCTCTCTGCAAAAGCCTGATTTCAACTCATCTGGATATATACCCAGAAGTGGTACTGTTGGATCATATAGTAGTTCTAGTTTTAATTTTGTGTAGAACCGCCATATTTTTTCTCCCATGTTAACTGCACTATTTTGCATTCCTACCAACAATGCACCAGGATTCCAATTTCTCTGTATCCTTCCCAACAGATGTTTTCTTTCTGTTTTGTTTTATTTTGCTTTTTTAATAGCAGCCATCCAAATGTGTTTGAGGTAATCACTGCATCTTTTTTTTTAAAGATTTTATTAATTTATTTGACAGACAGAGATCACAAGTAGGCAGAGAGGCAGGCAGAGAGAGAGGAGGAAGCAGGCTCCCCGCCGAGCAGAAACCCCAATGTGGGGCCCAATCCCAGGACCCTGGGACCATAACCTGAACCAAAGGCAGAGGTTTTAACCCACTGAGCCAACCAGGCGCCCCTAATCACTGCATCTTAAGGTCACCTCTCTTACCAACCATTCTTACCCCTTCAGTTGTACATTTGTGTGTCTCCACTGCTGCTAAGTTGTTCATGTCTTATTCATCTTTGGAACCCCAATTGTTTATAGTATAGTGCCTCATCCAAAATAGAGACTTGATAAATATTGATATTAAATGAATTAACCAATGACTGAATCAATAAAGTGATCACTTTTACAATGTAAGTGGAATATGCAAATATTGTTTTTAAAAGTACTGGTAAAAGTTTAATTGCAAAAGCTCATTTTCCCCAGCTCTAGCAGAGATATATACTATCTGCAAAATGTCTTCCATGTACACTTTATTTTTGAGACGTCCCTGGAATATGGAAAATCCACTGCAGACATAGAGCATAAAACCAGAAGGCCTCCAAAAAGAAGAGAGAAAACTACTCAGGCCATATTTCCTTCCCACAAAGGAACTTTTTTATCCAACTTGGAAAATCATATATATAACACTGTCGGTTATTGTTTTGGCCCAACCCTGCTCTATGAATGCTCCTAAACGGGGATGTCATGAAAAATATAATCCAGATCAACCTAAAAGGCAAGCGAGATCTTCTCGTGGTCTGCAAAGCACTGTGGAGCCTTGGAATATGTTCAGGTTTTCTGGAATATCCATTAGGCCAAAGTAATTTGGTACAACTGCCTCCAGACAGAGATCTGTGTCCCCAGTAGGCAGACTAACTTGGCTTCATCATCCGTAGTGGAAAGGAACAGAGTGGGAGGTGTCTGTGCCTGGACTCAGACCAAGCCACAAGGGTAGGCCAGGCACTGACCTGTGGTTAGATCAGCCCCCAGGGAAGAGCCTCATTAGAGGTCTCAGACTCATCTCTTCCAGCCTCCCTCTCCCTGGCCTTGCCCAATCGCATCTGTCAAAGACATGGCACTCTTGGCTTCATGCTTCTTTGGTAGGAAATGCTTTATACCATGTTTAGGGCAATCTTTCTTCCCCTCAGTCAGCCTCAGAGGCCCTTTGGTTTCTCCTTATTTTTATAGAAGCAAAATTAATTACTCTCATTTTCATGAGCTAAATGTATTCAAGTTCTGCCTTCCTCATATATAATCTATATATGATCTCATTATTATAGCTGAAAAATTTAATTCTTTAGCCAATTTGCTAAAAGATGTCTGTCTTTATAAAATTCTTATCCCTTTCCCACTGAATTGTCACGAAATCTCAATAGTTCCTCACCTTGGGCACATTCTCATAAGACTCAGATAAGAAGTTGACTAGTTTACCAAGTTAAATGTTCTTCAGCCTTCCAGGTATGTCTAAAGATTCTCTAAAAAGAAGTAAGGAAGAAGCTTAAGGGCAAAATGGAGAGATGTGTTGTCAGCGACTGAACACATCACAGTTCAGAGGCATGCAAGTGCTTAGGAACAGAGTGATGATGGCAGAGAAAAGAAGGGCAGAAACGTGAGATCAGAAAATGAGAGACACCACCACTGCAGCTATGGAAACTGGAAACTCAACTGACTAGATTTAATTCCCTTTTCATTATACACATGGACTACTAAATATTTCCCAGTGGGCACCTACTGATATTATATATTCAATATGATGAAGAAAGAAGCC